TCACCCTGATGGTTTTTAAACCTGATTCACCGCCCCTGCCAAACCCCCCCCCCCCCAAACCCGTCCGACCCTCCCAACCTCCCACCTCCGGGGACGGGAAGAGGGGGGACGGTGGCCGGTGGTGGCTTTTTTGAGGGTGGAGGGGGGAATCCCTCATGACCAGTCCTCAGTTTCGCCCCGAGCCCCCCGGGGAGTGTGTGTGTGTGTGGGGGGGGGTGTTTGTGGCAACCTCAGGGTGCCCGGTGGCCAACGGTCTCGGTGCTTTGGTACCAGCCAAAAAAAAAAAAACCAACCCCCCCCAGGTATTAATTACGCTGCCGGGTATAAATTGACACTGTGTACCACTGAATCATAGTGAATATTTGTGATGTGTTCCTTCCCTAATAGATGCTCTCTATGAATAGAGAGAGAGAGAAGCGCCTATTTACTCTGAAATATTTGGCACGGCGGAGGGAGTCTGAAGCGTGGAAGAAGTGGCTATTATTTTTCCCACTGCCTCTGTGTGTGTGTGTGTGTGTGTGTTTGTGTGTGTGTGTGCAGCTGTCATCTCTGAGCAACACGTTCCTCCTCAGCACATCCCTGCCCTCGCCCGTGGTCCACCCCAGGGATGACAAGGAGGAGAAGAGGCCGAGCCAGCCACCCCGCTCTGCTGAAATCTAAGTGTTGTGGTTTGTATTCCACCCAAAACCCCAAGACCTAAGCGTTGTGGCTTGTATTAAATCATTGCAGATAACTGTTATGGTTTTCTTTCTTTTTTTTTTTTTTTTATGGTTCTTCCCCCCACCTCCCCCGTGTGTCATTTGAATATTCAGTGATGTCATGTTGTTTGACCTCCGCTTTAAGGGCCAGGAATGCCAGAGTTTTGGCTTTTGACCTGTTGCAGTGTGTTAGTGTTTAATGAGGGAGACCGGCTTAACGCATCTTGCTAAGCAAACTGAAATCTGATGGAGATCTTCAAAGGCACCATCCTTTCCATGTAGGCTTTCTCCTGCTGTCATCCCTTCTTCCCATCCCTCCATACGTAGACATACCTCTGGGCTATGATACAGCAATATGTGTGCACAGGATTCTGGAGGGAAAAAGAAAGGGTTTTCATGTAAAACCCCAGTAGGATATATTGTACTGTAAAACTGCTATTTATATTCTGCCACCATGTACTTTGGCTGGTAAAGTCATTTGGATACTCGTTTCTTCTACTTGAAATTCTCCATGAAAAGAAATGAGATTGGCTCTGAAAGAATTTAAAAAAAAAAAACAACAAAAAACAAAATCCCAGAGGAACAGTTATGGTAAATAATACATGTTCCTAAACCCATGAGGCCTCCTGAAATCTGTATTTACTCAAAAGACTCCAATGGCCCCAGTGCTGGGTAAATAATGTGTACCAAACTATGTATGACATGCATACCAAAATGCAAATGTAACCAGGTAAACAGAATGCCTTTTTTAAATGCCTAAATATGGTAGGAGAACATCAGAGAGAGAGAGGCTTCTAGACATGTTTTATAACTTTCCATGTAAGAGGTTTTTTCAGAGAAACAATTTTATTAAACAAAACCTAAGAATCTCACTGACAGAAAAAGTATGTTTAAAAGTAACAAACCACCAGAAAGTCAGGAAATCCAAAATTAAAGGATAAATCTGTCCTAAGTCCTCACACCGCCGGCCAAGTACAGCAAGCCCCATCCACTTGCTGCCCTGAGAAAAGAAAAAAAAAGACTTAAATAGGCATTTGGACTTAAGAATTAAGTGAATTGGTGTGAATTGGGCATTAGCCCACTGAATGTCAAGCTGTACCTGCCCGTGGTAGTGGGTGGGGGCGAAGGGGACCTGGAAGCAAAGGTGGCTCTTTCAGAGTCCAGTTGGGTTTTTGTCTTGTCCTTTCTGGTGACAAGACGCCATGGGTTGGAGGAGTAGGTCTTGGCATCGACGCAGAAAACGGTTAAAATGCACTAATTTTGACTTCCATGCAGGTGTTTATACAGCACATGCTTTTAAGATAGTATATTTTTCCTGCTGAAACTAGGAATTCGCTACAGCAGACTTATTTACACAGCTATATACGGTCTGTGTGTGTCTACATCAGCTTTGGTTGGTATAGTTCCTTTGGTGAAGTCTTGTAAAATGTACAGGTGTGGATATGCTACATTCCTCTCTTGTGTTTTTCCTTCTTTTTTTTTTTTTTTTTTTTTTTTTCCCTCTCCTTCCCCCCCCCACCAAAAAAAAAAGTCACTTGATCAGATATCAGACATACTGAAAAGCTGGCAAGACTACAGGAAAGTGGCTAGACTTGGAGTGTTTGTGTACTTAAAGAAAGAATCTTGCACATTTTCAACTTTCAGTCACAGATTTTTTTTTTTTATTTTTTTTTTTCTAAGAGCAATTGGAGGTCTGAGCCAGCCCTCAAAGCGGAAATCAAAAGCTCCCAGAGAAACATACCCCAGGAATGTGAATCTGATCCAAGAACCATACGCAATGCACATACAGTACTGTCAGTCTTATAGGAAGTCTGGCCATATACGGACATCTGGACCCCGAGCTGTTTATCATCATGATAGGCTTCTAGCTGGCTTCAAACATTTCTGGCTTGCCTCGGCTTCAGGACGCCAATTAGTTCCTTTCCCAAAATGCTCACCAGGATATTTTTTTAAAAAAAATTGTAATAAATATATCTCCAAAATCCTGAGAGGTCTAGTTAAAGTTACGCTAGTAGACTTTTGCTTAAAAGGCAGATTCCAGGCAAGACTTGCTCTGCTAGCTCAGAAATAGACACAGAATAAAAATAACGAGATTTATTCCATCGTGAGTGTGGTTGCCTGGTATTTGCCTTTCTTAGAAGTCATCTGGTAACTTATTCTATGTATCTGTAGGCATAGAAAGTGCTCTGAAGCAGACTCCTTGCTGGACTTTTGCTTATTCTTTTCTGGAGGGAGGTGTGAGCTGATGAATCAAAAAAGGCAAAGTGAAATAGGGAAAAAACAAACAAACTTCAATTCCCAGGAGGTGTCAGGCGAGTTGTCCACATTGTGCCATTTGTGTTGCTTCGTTAGAGCACTGTTAGCTCTCCTCCAAAGGGAACCACAGGAAGAAGAAGAAGAAGAAGAAGAAGAAGAAGGTGGCTGGGAGGAGCAGTTGGATGGCGTAAGGCCTATGGAAATGTTTGCTGCTCAACTGGTGGACCCAGTCCAAGTTCCTCGAGATACTGGGTCAGATTCTCTGCTGGCGTCAGTTGGGCAGATTTCACCGAATGCAGTGTTGGCCATCAAAATACTTGGACTTGAGAAGTCCAAGTCCATTGAGCTGAAGTATGAACAAAGCAAAACCATCAGATGCAAAGCAAAACCATTAGCAGATCCGAGTTCTGTTGTTTTCCGTAATCATCATTATTTCAACTTATGTCCTTTATGTTCTAACGTGTAATATTTTGTTACTTCTAGAGTCACCAAGAATACTTCTTTAAGCTTTTGGCTTCGTTCTTAGAAAGTAGCTGTAGGTTGTTGGTTTTTTTAGGAACGTGTGTGGTCTTAAAGCAGCAAAGTGATTGCTGGAAGAAGAATAATCTAAATGGGTATTCAAAGCACTTGTAACACTGTATGAAAGAGAGATCATAAGCCAAGGTCCTTTACCTACCAACCCTCAGGTCCTGTATATCTGATTTTATTCCGTAGGGAGCAGCATTCACTCCACCTGTGCAGAGGTTTGGCTGTGTCCTGGACCTGTGTCATAGGATTTTGTGGGGAAGCGTAGAGCCCTTCCACAAATCATGAAGGTGAGTAAAGGAGGGAAGAGACCTTCCCTTGCTTATTTCTCAGATTTGACTTGAGGTTTGCAACCTCTTGCAGTAGTAAGTGTGGGACTTGCAGTGAGTCACTAACCACTCCATTGACAATTATTCTATAAATGGTTAACGATTCATAAAAAATGAGCATCGCTGGCTGGAGAGGAAACCTGGTCAGCGACTTGATTCAGAACATCCACCAGAAATCCTCTGATGTCCCTCTTTCAGAGGAACCACTTGGAAAACAGCTGGAGGAAGACTTCCTCCCACTCGTGTCACAGCTTGTGTGCGCAGGGATGAATCAGATCTGCTTATTCTAAAACGCATGTGATTTTATTTTCAGTTTTTCGCCCTGTTTCTCTCAGATCTGTTGGGGTAAGTTTTGAGGTTTTGTGGGTTTTTTTCCCCCCAAGCTGAGAGACATCGATTGTTTAATTAAGACTTGACCAGATTAGAAATTTCACTTTAAAAATTACAGTTTTCTCTGCCATAGAACATGGGATCTCTTAATTTATGTCGTAGCTGCTGTGGAGAAGCAGAGGCCTGTGGAGAATCCTGTGGGAGACATTTGTCCATAGGGTAGGATTGAGATTTGTACATTGGGGGGTGATGAACAGAGCATTTTCTTGTGGAGAGAGAGAGAGATCACTGTAATATTTGCCCACTTTTTGATGCAGCCTGAGTATAGTGTAGTGTGGGCTTTTTGTATTTACATGGAAATACAAAGTCTCTTTTCCTGAGAAACTGGAGGGCTTGTAACACACTGCATCAGCTGACCTACAGAGGAACATAATGTCCCTCAACTTATTAACGTAGGATTTTAGAAATCACTTGATTTTTCAGGAAAATGGTTCTTCCCTGTGGTTCAGCTGCCAGCTTGGCTGGCTGATGTTTTTTTTTTTTGTTTTTTTTCCAGCAAGTGATGTGTGGTATGTGACCTGTGTAAATACATCTGTACAACTGACGCAGATGGGGGAAACTAGGATGTCACCTACAACAGCCAAGGTGGCTTCCTTATTGATCCACGGATGTGTGTGAAATTTAGCAACTACTGGCCCGGGTCTGAAAACCATCTTACACTGCTCATCTCTCTGGTGGTGCTGGGAAATTCTCTGTCAGACCTTTTTTTTCACAGGGAGCTGAGAAGAGGAGGTACTCGAAGAAATGTGCCTTGTTAGGGAAGTGGGGGACATTTCTAAGAGATTTTGATTTCCTGAAGGAACCAATCGAGGAAACTCAGTTGTTTCAAACAGCAGTGGTCCCAGGTCTAAAATTTACAACCGTGTTGCTACAAATGTCCTGGTGATGAGTGGCTTTTAAGTAATAAGCACCAGGTTGTAAAAGTGGTAAGACTTACACTAACAGCAAGTGTTTCTGAGCATATTACTCCATTTATAACATTTTTATTAAAGGGTTTTAAATAGAAATCAAGGTTAGGTTTTTACTGTACCTAGGTGTTTGTTTTGACCATTTTGGACAACGGAGTCTTTATGAAATTGGAGTCTATGAAGTTATTTGTGGTGCATTTCTTGTGAGGAAGTTACCCGTGATGGATCTTGTGGAAAAGCCTAACCTTAATAGCATGGTAGATGTGTATGATTAGTTAAGATTCAATTATGACATGGGATGAAGAGACAGTTCATCAATTGCCTTTTTTCATTGCTTAAGATTTGCCAAGGTATTTGAACATCCTAAAACTGTCCCAAGCAATGTTCGCCCTGTGAATTAGGACAAAAATTTCAGGTGAGTTTTAAAAGCATATATGAACTAGCCACATCTTTTCCTTTCTCCTCACAGGCACAAGAGGACTCACAAGACACAGAGGGCTGAATTTCAAATTCCCTGGGAAAAGCTTTCTTATTTCACCGTCTTACCTGTAGTGAGACCTCACCTAGACCTTAAATATCTTTTTTCTTCCCTTCACAAATAACTCGTGAAGAGTGATGGTAGAGTACATGACTTGGGAAGCGTGCTTTGTATTTCTACTTTTTGGGGTTTTTTTGCCATCAAGCTGCCACAGGGGGGAGTAGAAGTTTGGAAAGGACAGTGCTGCCCAAGAAGCCACCCGGGCAAGAGTTGTTGCATTCCTGGTGCAGTTATCCCAGAGAAGAACGGGCACAGAAGCAGCGTGGATGTGCTAGGAATGAAAGGGTTGGTTGGAGGAAGGAGCTGCAGGGTTTCTGCAGCTGGGACGGGCCGAATGCTTCGCTGCTGTCGCAAAACCACGCTGTTTTTCTTATTCATTCCAACCGGCTTTTCGGTTGGAAAAGGGGAATGTGAGTGAATTGTTTTCCTGCCTCGGGAGGGAAGACGACGTGTGGGAGTTGTACAGTATTTGCAAAATCCCTGTCGTTCTGACGAAAGGCTTTTCCCACGTTAGGACTATTGGCTAATGAAGAAAAAATGTGAGGCAGAGGCAAAGTGTCCCTGCAAGGCCAGGGAAGTTTGGCCGACTTGATAGGAAGGGGTTGTTCTTGTTGGGACTATTAGCCTTGGTGAAATCTGCTTTGCCTGCTTAATGCAGGAGTAGCTGGACTCTCTGTGGGTCCTGTGCAGCGAGGATGAGGAGGGAGGGTTTTACGACCCAGCGAGGTCTGGATGATGCTCTTCTGAGCACCTTTGGATCCCCATCTCCTTTTTTCCTGGCCCCGCTGGGCTCAGGAACGGGCTGTTTTTGAGGGGCACAGAGGAGCCATTACATGTTTCTTGCTTTTCCAGGTTGGAGTTGGGGAGTTTTAACTTACGACCCAGCGAGGTCTGGATGATGCTCTTCTGAGCACCTTTGGATCCCCATCTCCTTTTTTCCTGGCCCCGCTGGGCTCAGGAACGGGCTGTTTTTGAGGGGCACAGAGGAGCCATTACATGTTTCTTGCTTTTCCAGGTCGGAGTTGGGGAGTTTTAACATTGAACAATCAAGTCAACCTGTTTTTTTGTGAAAGAATGAAGTAATTTTCAGGAATTACTTACTGATGAGGAAAGTAACCGAAAGGATTGACTCAGGCACGTTTTCTTTTATATAATCCTCTGGATCCAAGGGCACAGATCTGTAATGAAATAGAGTAACCAAGAAAAAGGAAGAGTTAAAGATGCACGTTTTCTTTTATATAATCCTCTGGATCAGAGGGCACAGATCTGTAATGGAGTAAGCAAGAAAAAAGGAAGAGTTAAAGGAGAAATGCAAAACTGATGTTTATGTTTCTCTAACCTACCATGAGAAATAACAATGCTGTGTATTGCTTGCTAAATATGCTATTTTAGAATGCAGAGGGAAATATGGCAAGCAGGTCTTTGCTTTTGATTTTAATGGCAAAAGTAGGATGGGAAGGAAAACAATTATTTGGGTGAAATATTTTGCTGTGCTTTTTGTACGTCTGTGGTTCCTGAACTAAGAAATGCAAAACTGATGTTTATGTTTCTCTAACCTACCATGAGAAATAACAATGCTGTGTATTGCTTGCTAAATATGCTATTTTAGAATGCAGAGGGAAATATGGCAAGCAGGTCTTTGCTTTTGATTTTAATGGCAAAAGTAGGATGGGGAGGAAAACAATCATTTGGGTGAAATATTTTGCTGTACTTTTTGTACATCTGTGGTTCCTGAACTGTTAAACTGATGACAGTTAAACTGTCATCAAAAGGAACCTGGGAGAAACCCACATTCTTTGTGTAGAGCATATTGATAAATCCAGTGCCAGTTCCACAACCGTGTGGCTAAAATATGCAAAAAAAAAGAGAATTAATGGCCCAGTTTCCAAATAAGACATAAGGAATTTGTTTATGCTCTTGGGAGGTTATGTATCTAGGTTTGAATGGAACTATGTTATGTATATTGAAAGTCTCAAGGAATGCAAGACTGGTTTTGTTCAACAATAAACATCTAAGATAACAAGAACATTTATACATTTGGTGAACTTGTGTGTAAACCTCAAGTTTCTTGCTTTTTTCTTAGGGATGGTTGTTACAAGTTCAGGGAGATAAAAATGCAAGCAGGAGAAGATAAAATTAAATACATTCAGAGCAACTTTGAAATTTTCCCTTAGTTCCAATGATGCCTGAGTTATAGAAGGAATTAAAGTCAGAATCATACTGAAGGTTGTAGCCCAGTTTATTGCACTCACCTGAGCTCTTGCAGGAATACAAACCTGGAGAACTCTGACCTGAGTCAGTATCACAGTGTCACGTAAATCACTTTTAAAGACACGCTTCTGTCCCACTCTTCCTAAAGCACTTTCAGCTTGGTTTGTCAAAGCTTTTTCCTTTTTTCCTAGAAAGATTTTTTCCTGAGGAAATTGGCAACCAAGTGTGAGCGTTATAAAAGAAGAGAACAAGAAGGCAGGCGCCTACCAGTGTAAAAACCTAGACCCTGTTAGAGTGGTTTTGCAAAGTACAGTGTCAAGATACTCATTCTGGGCACGGGGTGTGTTTCGTAACATTTGAAGAATCACTACATGTACAAAGACAAAGCCGAGAGCAAAACCAGCTTTATGTGGTTTGTAATTCCAGAACCCTTTCTATGGCTCTTCTGGTTTCATCACTTTATTCTTTTCAGGGAAAAAAAAAATAAAAAAAAAAAAAAGATTTTGAAGTTTGAGAGAAATTGCAGCAATCCTTTTTTGAGAATTTAAGACATCCAACACACTGGGGAGATGTGGTGGCCCTTCTAGTTTTACTCCTCATCAGCGTTTAGGACGAACCGACAGCATAATTGCTGTAGTGTAATTGAATCATTCTTTTAGTTGGAAAGGTATAAATGTGTGTTTCTGGTGCTAGAGGTCACAGTTTCATTCCTGCAGAGGCTCCATTTTACCTGAAGTCCTGAGCTGGTTCATAATCTACTCTTGACTTTTGAAAAAGGCTTTGTTGTCATGATATAATTCCAGCAAGTGAACCATATTCTGTGCTTCCAGCCAAATTAGTCGATGAATGGATGAGGTGCCCAGTTTTTATTTCTTGAAGGCCATCAGGGCAAATCCTGCCAAAGTTACGTTTTTGCTCAAGATTCTTTGTTTTTTCCTGCTTTTCCAGCAGACCAACACAGAGCAGTACATTCTCATCACTTAAGTATTTAAAAAATAAAAGTAAAAAATTAAACGCAACAAAAAAAAGTCAAGGTAGCAAGAAGATATTTACCAGAAGAGCCAAGCTGGAACATAGTTGCAAGACCTAGAGCATATTTGCTACTCCCAGACTAATGCATTAGAATTTTGGGGAGCACTAAGATGGGAATAAGAGGGAAAGTGGAGAGAAGAAATCTCCAAAGATGAAGATGGTAGAGCACCCATAATTCGTGTGATACGGAGCCACTGTATCAACACCAGGAGACTTCTGGTGAAAACAGGCAGTTTTACCTCTCATGATTAATGTCTTCAGAGTAATCCTAGAATCACAGTATGGTTTGGGTTGGAAGGGACCTTAAAGCTTTAAAGATCATCCAGTTCCACCCCCCTGCCCTGGGCAGGGACACCTCCCACCAGACCAGGTTGCTCCAAGCCCCATCCAGCCTGGCCTTGAACCCCTCCAGGGATGGGGCAGCCACAGCTTCTCTGGGCAACCTGTTCCAGGGTCTCACCACCCTCACAGCAAAGAATTTCTTCCAGAGATCTCATCTAAATCTCCCCTCTTTCAGTTTAAAACCGTTACCCCTCATCCTATGGCTCCCCTCCCTGATCCAGAGTCCCTCCCCATCTCTCCTGGAGCCCCTTTAGGGACTGGAAAGGGCTCTAAGGTTTCCCTGGAGCCTTCTCCAGGCTAAACAACCGCAACACTCTCAGCCTGTCCTCACAGCCTGTCCTCAGAGCATCTTCTAGCTCTAGGCAACCCTGCTTTAGCAGGGGAGTTGGACTAGATGATCTCTATGGTCCCTTCCAACTCTAGAAATTCAGTGAAATTCAGTGAAATTCATGGTCCCGTAATGCTCCCCCCTTCAATAGGTGACTCCTCAATCTCTTTCTCAATACGAGCCCAGAGTTAAGACTATTCTTGCCAGCCCAGGGGAGAAGTTTTCATGGGACAGGCCATAGGAGAATGCAGGAGGCTTTTCCATAGGCCATCGAGGGGTCTTATCCATTTGTTCAGCCTGTACATTAGCTTGGATGATGTTGTTAAAATATCTTGCTTTCCAAGCTGGAAAGGTCACTGTGTTTCTTTAGGATATTTTTGGAGATGTTTCTATGGTTTGTCAGATCTAAAAATAAACTGTGATCAACACACTTAAAAATTATGACAGGATTTTTTTTTTTTTTTTTACAAGAGTATAAAAGGCAGTTCAGATTTTTGTTTTTCTCTTCGGGAACCAGTCAGAATTACAGACAGGCTACGGAAATCCCCTTCAGATCTCCAGGACTGTTTTTTTGGGGGTGTGTTTATATTGGAGGGCATCTGCCTGCCAATCTCTTCATCTGTTTTACACAGTTTATACAGCCCATCATTTTCTTAACTGACAGAAAAAGTCACCAGGAACATTTGTAGTCTTTTCTTCTTAAATTTCTAGGCCAACTGGGAAACTTTAATTGAAGTTTGTTTTCATTTTTAGAAAGAGGCATCCTGATGAAATAGACCCTGTGCATGGCTTGCATGAATTTTCAGCAAAATGAAGCTTCAGAAAAAAATTGGAATTGTTTTATTTAACATGTCAGTGCTCTGGGTTGATTTTGGAAGGGGAAAAAATTGGAGGAGTTTTATTTTGCAATTCACTTTGTGTCAATATCCTACTGTTCTTGATTGGTCTGAAAAACACTTTTAAAATTTTCACTTTGAGGGGCTTTTGTAACGTCTGTCACTGTAAGTGGGGTTGAAGAGATGTTTGGAATCCCAGTATTTTTCAAGGACCAGAAAATCCATTTTCTGGCCCAAACCAGGGAATACTTAAAAATTCTCTGATTTGTTTAGGGTCATTAAAGTCTATTGTGTAAAAGTAAATTTGGTAACACAGTTTTACTGTTTCCTATCCCTGTAGCTGTTCCAAAAAGAAATCCCATTGTTGGGAAGGTCTGCAGTTAAAAGCCTTGGATTGGGTAGTTCAAAGGCTCAGGGTTGGACACCAGGGAGTCCAACAGGTAGGGATCTATCACCAATGACTTCTTTGGAGCCCTTCAGGGGTTATTCTGCATCTTCTGTGCTTTTGCTGGAGTTACTTGGTCTTGAGCAACTTGGCCTGGTGGGAGGTGTCCCACCAGAGGACAGGGGGTTGGAACTCCATCATCTTTAAGGCCCCTTCCAACCCAAACCATTCTGTGATTCTACTTGAGTATGGGTTGTAGTTGGGAATGTTGGCTAAAGCTTCTCTACTTGTGAAGAAATGGTACTTTTTCATCAGTGGGGCTGGGGGGGGAAGTTCCTGAGGCACCGAGCAGGGGGGACCGAGTCTGGAGAGAGCTCTTTTGGAGGCCTGAGGGCAGTAAGTCGTTCTCTGATGGTGCTCCCACACAACCTTACCCCCCTCACAGCTGCTTTATAGCCGTTTTGTGTTTACCAAGTTTCATCCAAAGTGGCCCTACAGAAAGGATCTAACACTGAACAGCTCTCCAGAGCAGTTGTAGTTGGGTTTCTGCCACAACCCCTCAAGCGTCTCCCAGAAGGGTGATGACGTGCCAGGGATGTTTTCAGAGGGCTCAAGCGTGGGCTGCGTTACCGGTGCCTGCAGGTCTGAAAGCTGGTGCAGGTTATTCCTTCAGGGGTTTTCCTGCCCTTTCCTAGCAAAGAACAGTGACATTCAGCACTTTTCCTCGTTACCAGGCTCACTCCTTTGCAGACTGGCACAGGGAAGAGCCGACGAGGGAACCTTATCTACCTGCTCTACCACCTCCCAAGGTTTGTAAAGTCCTCCTTGCATTTAAAACTGATTAAAATCCTGTCCTATTTTAAACCCCATCTCCGTCAGGGAGTCTTATCTAACCCTGGCAGAAAAACAGAGGATGTTGCTTCTCATCAGGACAGAGCCTGCATTTAGCTTTCTTTCAAGTGGCGCAATAAAATATGGGACTGGGCTTCAGCTTCCCATGTTTTAAGTCATCTTTTTTAATCCCTGTTTTCATTTTCAAAACTATTTGGATCCGAGAAGACCTTTTTTTTTTTTTTTCTTCCC